TTAAAAAAACTGGTAAAAAATTTAAAAAGAGATGCAAGGCATAACGAAGGATTTCGAGCCCATGGATGCGCGCTACCAGACCCGTGACACGCAACGCAACACGCAACGCAACACGCAACGCAACACGCAACGCGTGAGCTGTCGGAGTGCAACAAAATTGACCAAAACTCAAATTCTATAAGTGTTTCGAAACCAATTATTGGAAAACGATTTCCATGCCCCAGCAAAATTCCGAGGAGCTTTTCAAGGTATCGGATGGTAACATCGACACACTAATGGTATCAAAGACACCGTGACATATAAAAAATCTGGAAAGGGATCGGCCGTAATGGTCTCTGCTGGCTTGCCCCGTTCTTAAATCCAAGATATACCAAAACCTTACAAACCTTTGCATCACATTCCCATTGATGTAATACACCAAACGAAAAATCGGCTAGACAAATCAAGTACCCTCCGAAAAAAGTGCAGGCGCAGGTGAAGTTCAAGCTCAATGGGGGAGGTATCCCTGCAATTGCATACCACCATCGGCCCCAGTCGGTCCTTTTTGACGTTGACGTCAATGGGATTGGCGCGTGGTTGTGCGCCCCCAGCCAGAAAAGAAAGGGGCGCGAGCAAATTCGAGGAAGAAGAGGAAGACTGTGTGCGCGTGAAAAACGGGAGAAAAAGGCGGAGAAGGCACATCTACGTCCTCGCTCCACCCTACTCAATTGTTTCATTGTTGATCTGTCAACCTGGGGTGAGAACGGCCATCCGCTCGAATTACCTCACAACGTGCCGGGCACGGGTGAGGCGTTAGAGGCGTACTTTGGTGCCAATAAAAAGTGCCACTAGTTCTTCAATTGCCTTGGCCAGGCCGAAAAACCATTCGCAAAGAACCCTGTGCTAGCCTGCTTACCCTCGACCTGGGAGAGCTTTCGGGCGTACTTTGGTGCTATACAACAAGTGTTACTGGTCTCTACATTATTTCTGCTGTTTCGACCTCTCCCAAAGAATCACTGCTAGTCTCCTCCCAATATTCTTTTTAGCATCGTTAGACCCGCCATCCTCAAGATTATCTGCTAGCCTGCCTGCCTACTTCAGCCGCCCTCTGGTTTTCTCAAAAACCTCTGCTAGGCTGCCCTGGCATGGAAGAAAAACGAGCTTTCGGCAGATATCACCAAGGCAGTTTCCACAAAATCACTGCTGGTTCCCCTCTATTTTCTAAACACTCTCTGCTAGCTTGCCCGAAAAAAATAAGCAAGAAATATCCTTCACATCCTATAATAACTATACACAACCTCAAAATCCCACCCTCGCCCCCGGGGCCGCTTTCAAAAATATTTGGCCGGAAATTTGAGGAGCGCGCGAATCGGCGGATTCACAGGCGCCTTAAAAAATGGCCCCCGATGGTCAGCGGGGGAAATTCTAAACCTCAACAAGCAGCGGCAAACATCTATTTATTCGGGGGGTAGGTTCGAAAATCAACGACCAAGCAGAAAAAATAAAAAAAAAATCGTTTATACATGCCCAAAACAATAGATATATACGCCATTTGGCGTAAGCGTTTGCAAATATCGCCAAAAAGTCAGAAATGATGCTGTCGCTGCCCCTTTAAAACGACGATATCGTCAAGTAAAAAATATACAACTTAAGCAAGCAGTTTCAGCCCTCAAAGAGCGATTCAATACAAAAAACCAATGCTTTTACACCTACCGTACCCCAAGTGATCACCAAAACCGAACGCTGTTTGATGTAGAAGATCACCACTAACGTAAACAACGCTATTCAAATCCGGCCGCGCCCTGGCCGTTCGTCTATAGCAGTTCATCGTAGCAACTCGGGCGGGATGGTGGTGAACAATGATAAAGTGGGTAGGGGAACTCATCCGTGCTTCCGGCCCTCCCCCAGTGCTCGTCCGGTGCCTCACCCTCTAGACAAACAACGCAAAAAGTCATGGGATTCCCCCGAGGAGAAAAGGCAACTTTTAGGGAACAGCTTTTGAGTCAGCAGTTGGTTTTTGGGCTCTAATTTTGTTGAGTAATTCATTGCAAAAAAAACGGACGAATTCAGAAGACATTGGAATCAGAGAGAGCGAGCGAGCGAGCGAGAGAGAGAGAGAGAGAGAGAGAGAGAGAGAGAGAGAGAGTTAGTGACAGAGAAAGCGAGGCCGCCAACGAGAAAGGGGAAGACTTAGGGAGGGAGAGAGATAGAACGAGAGAGGGAGAGAGAACGGGAGACCTTCTGTTCAAATTCATACACCTAAAATCAAGAAAATTGGCTCAAAGCCAGAATTTTGACGCTGAAAAGCTGCTGCAGAACAGCGTACTTCCTAGAAGACGCGCTTCTCTTCTCTGTTTTTCTTTCCTTCCTCATTAGTGGACACTTGTTCTCGGGCTGGAGAAGGGGGATTCCCCTTCCCGGCTCTCTCTCTCTCTCTCTCTCTCTCTCTCTCTCTCGCTCTCTCTTCCCATAAGCTCATCAAGCCCAAAAAGAGGACAACGGGACAGTCGTTGTTCACCTTTTGGAACCCCGTGATTGTCTTTCTTTTGCGGAAAAACAGTTCCGGAAGGCTACGTGGTTGCGCTTGCAGAAATTGAGGGCGTTAGGGAAACAGCAATTTCACCGGCTAATCAAGGGCACGCTAGCAGGGGTTCTTTGAGAAGCTTCAGCCCCACAAAAAAAATTTCGGAAGCCGACTGTTGGTACTAGTCCAAAAAAAGCGAATGGAAAAGGCAGAAATGACAATTCACCCATCGAAACGGAAGCCCAGTTTATAGATTCTCCAGCTTATCAGCTAAAGGAGTATAAGCTTAGCTCGCGGAGCCGCAAGGTCAATCGCACTTCCGATTGGCAAAAAAAATTCAAAAACACCAGCTATACGGCTGACCTGAAGCTAAAAACCAGATATAAAAATAACCTAAAGATTAACCGTTCCACCGTAGCCATCTAGAATTTTCCGAAAAAACCCAGACAACACCCACCCACCGTTTGACGCAACAACCTATCGGCGCGGATATATTCAGTCGGAAATTGGGCACCTCACCCCACCTACTGCATATCCATTACTGCTTTCCCTGCTTCTCCTTCCGCTTCTCCCCTACTGCCTCACCCCCGTGCGCAAATAATACGAAACGGATCGGGTAGCCTAATCGGGGGAGGGGAACGGGCGGGTTTTTTGCGGGGCAGATAAGTAATGCTACTCGAACGGAAGTGGGGATGCAAGGAAAGGAATGTTGCGGAATATATTGTAGTTGTTGGCGTTTAAAATGCTGTCTTTTTCCGAAAACAAAACATTTGAAAAATCATTAGCAAAATTCGGATTTTAACTCTCTAAATTCCTCTAAATCTGGAAAAAGATGATTTGACCAAATCTCGCTCTCACTCTCGCGCGATCGCTCTCTTCCTCCCTCTTTCTATTTTTCTCTCTCTCTCTCTCTCTGTCTCTCTCCTATCTCTCTCGTATACGCAGCTCAAATGAAAAATATAAAAAGTGCCTCGATCTTTGAGTCACGCCCGCGGGTTCCGCAAAACGCCAATGATGTTGAACCAGATGTCACACGTGGGTCATTTCCATATCTCCTAAATACATATCTCTTAATTCCATATCTCCTAAAGTCATATCTCCTAAAAGTCATATCTCCTAAAAGTCATTTCTACTAAAAGTCATATCTCCTAAAAGTCATTTCTCCTAAAAGTCATTTCTCCTAAAAGTCATTTCTCCTAAATCATTTCTCCTAAAAACCTTACTTCAGGAGTTCAGTAGATACAAGCAAAAATTCTTGTAATTTTTTTCGGAACATCTAAAAAACCGCCCGGGAGGCTGGGAAAACCCGAACGAAAACCTCACTTCCCCTTTTTATGTTGAGATCGGATATGATATGTTTTCGCTTTTCACAGGCGCGAAACTTTTGCTTAATTTACAGCTAGCTTGCGTTTGATCCGATGTTTTTCACTATTATCCGACCATCTTAGAATGTTCAAATCGGTTTTTTTCGAAACCTGTGGGCGGTTTTGTAGATGTTCCGAAAAAAACCACCAAAATTTTTGCTTGTATCTAATGAATTCCCTGAAGCAAGGTTTTTAGGAGAAATGACGTTAGGAGAAATGAATTTTAGGGAGATATGACTTTTAGGAGAAATGACTTTAGGAGATATGACTTTAGGAGAAATAAAATAAGAGATATGTATTTAGGAGATATGACCGGAAATCGTCACACGTTTCCGGGTACAACCTGAACAAAGCGAAAAATCGACCCAAAACGTCTTCGAAACCCCCGAGGGCCCGGTCATAAACTGTTTGCCCTCATTCACTTTGTGTATCAACACCACCTCAGCTGAGCCGAGCCCCTTAAAAAGTGACGATTGGAAAATATTTACAAGCACAACAGTGTTGAATGGCCCGTCGGGCCATTCAACAGCTGTTCGCGCTCCATTCAACAAAACCCTCCCCTTTGACCCGCCAAGTGTACGCGAACCGTCTATCGACAAATAGTTGGGGTTAAATATAACTGCGGCGATCACATCACCCTCACGTCGTTGGGATTGAGACGAAAAAATGGTTGAGGATCTTGGAAATTACTGAAAAGGACGGAAAGGCGCGCGCAGTGATGGCTAATTTAACCACATTATAAGAATATCCCCGAAAATATTCTCGGACAAATCACGGAAAACTATGATTTTTTAGCAATAACCACCGAAATTTATCAAAAAGTCTTAGACCTAGGAAATGACGAATCTTATCAAATGCTCACTACGTCGCTATCCCAACGATCCGAGCACAGCCCTAAAAAAGGTTCCGCGCGCTGGAGAGAGCCGCGCATCGGACTAAAATTCACTTCCCCAGGTCCAAAAATGATGAAACAGGGTTCCAAGAAATTACTGAACTTTTTGGAACTGGATACTCCATTCGCGCGCTGGAAATTCTAGGTAAAAGTCGGGAATACATTGTATAAAACGGGCACCAAATTGTTGTTTGACAACCAGCCTCCACTAAAACCTTTTCAACACTTGAAAACAAACAAAATGTCGCATCTTCTGAACCTTCTTGCCCTCGTCGCCGTCATCGGCATGGTTTCGGCATACTACGTCGTTGTCCCTTCACAAACCGATGAGGTTCGCGCTTACCGCCGACTGCCTCACGAGTAAGTTCAAGCCGGTATGGAACGAAGTAGGTTCTAAGTGTCGAAATATAGCTTTTGATCCAAATATAACTATTCGGTCTTGCAAGCGCTAAGATTAATAAAATTTTCAGCGAACTCAGACGCGTCAAGCGCCAATTCGGCGACTTTATGCCCAGTTCACTTGGCCAAATGGGTAGGTTAATAACCGTTGCTCATAAACATCTTGAAAAGGAAAAGCTTTGTAAATTCAACCACTTTCTAGCCGGAATGATGGGTGGTGGATTCCCGGGCATGGTCCAGTCGAGCCAAGACCGCTGGGGCTCGTTCAAGCAGGAGCGCAACGGCGGCTTCAGCAACTCCGACAAGGCCTTCATCATCGGATGATGAAACTCCTTTGATCGCTAATCACATTTCTGTAAATTTAGACGTTGAATAAAAGTCTTGATGTTTCGACGTTTATCACAGTTTGATACCGATTCCTATAGTTCAAAGTCCCGCGGAAACGCGAGACATAAACCGAAAAACGAACTAATTTGCGCTCGTGATCTTCTACGAACTTTCAGAAATAGAACAATGGAAACCGATGATATGCGTAATAATAAAGCTGTCATTTTAAAGTCGCGAACAAGTCTCCCTACAAAACCATACGCCAATTTGACCCGCCTATTAACAAGATTTCTAAACATTGAGAGAATTCTAAGTAGAAATCCACGCGGAAACGTAAGTAATCCCAAGATCAGTTTTTGGTAGTAATTTAGCCATGATAGATCTGGAATTTTTTGAAAACGACCTCATGATCTCCTAAAAACCGGTTGACTAATAAATTTAGACCCAATAAATCTATCCCTGAAACTCTGAACCCTGAAAATTAAACAATCAATATCAAACCGACCATTAAAGGTATCGAACGCATTCAACATTTCGCTTTGGGAAACCGATAAATCGTGCCCCTAGAACTTGGTTGAATCGACACGGGACAACCAAGTCGCGATTGTCGCGCGCGAGTCGCGCACGAGACGCGCGCGAGACGTGCGCGAAAATGGTCGCGACTCGCGCGCGACAATGGCACGATTTGTTTCTCCCGTGGACAAGGATGTACCACCGGTCTCTGCCTCCTCTTGTCTCGTGCCAACCGAAAAGAGATGATTCCGGGAACAACCAAAACAAGGCGAGAGCATACCGGAGAAAGTCTAAAAATCGCGAGCCCTCTCTGGTGGTGATGAGACATCCTTCCCAGAAAGGTCAATTTTTGGCCATAAACCGAAAAATAAAGCGATTCTAGGTAGAGCGTCAAGAAATGATGCCAGGGAATGGCAGGTAGGGCGTATATAAGCCTAGGCGTCGAGATCTGGGTATCATCACTTCTTTACCTACTTCGATACCTGCCCGAAAACAACTAAAATGTCGCATCTGATGACCCTGCTTGTCTTCGTCGCCATCTTCGGCTTGGCTTCGGCATACCTTGTTATTCCTGGGGTTGCTGACTACCAATTTGCACCCAGCGAGTAAGTTTTCAAAAACAAAAACCATCAGCTAGGATTGCCTTCATAAACCTTGTCTAATAGACTAGTAGTTTAATTCGAAGTCATCACGAAAAATGCAGATTTTGAAAAACGCCACATTTTCAGCCAAGCAGTTCGAGTGAAGCGCCAATTCGGCAGCTTCATGCCCTTCTCAATGGGCCAAATGGGTCAGTTTTTCAAACTCTATCTCCTGGATCTCGTTGCTTTCAAAGTTTTACACTAATCAAAAACGGACGATTATGACTTGACCAAACCTCTGTTTTTAGCCGGAATGATGGGCGGCTCATTCCCAGGTATGGTCCAATCAAGCCAGGATCGCTGGGGATCGTTCCATGAGGAACGCCAGGGCGGCTTCAAAAATTCTGACAACGCCATCATCGTCGGCTAATCGCATTTCCGCCCTTTTCCATAATTTCCAATGGCTGTACATTTTCGGGTAAAATAAATGTCGAATTCTCAGGGTACCAAAAGGTCGCACTCGTCAAAACTGCAAATTCGTCAATTCGATCAGCAAAAAGCCACAAACTATTTATTCTCAGGTTCAATGAAAATCCTTAATATCGACAAAACGAATGATATGCACAAGTACGATGTGTTTGAATTACACGAAATTTAACGGGAGAGAGGGGTGGAGGGTTAATTGGCAGGCTAGTGCTTCTCGTCCTCGGGCTGGTCCTTGCTGCCGCCCTTCTCCATGCTCGCTTTCTTCGTTGCCTTCTCGCTGTAGACCTTGATCACCTGGGACGATTTCTCGTGGTAGCTGAAAAAACAGAGCCCGGAAATTATGTATTTTTATAGTGCTTACCTTGTTTGGCTTTTGACTCACATTTTTGCCCAGTTCAAAAATTTTAGAACATTTTTATGGTTTTTACATTGGCTTTTCTTATCGAAACACGCTATAAAAATCGTTTATATTACGTTATTGGGACATTCGCAATTACTAGGAAAAAATTGGTCCCCCCAGTCCAGAGCCCGGCCTTATCTATTGCGGGAATCATTCCGGGAACCTATTCCGGGAATAATTCCGGGAATCATTCCGGGAATCGGGAAAAATATTCCCGGAATCATTTTCATCTCTATTCCGGGAACCTATTCCGGGAACGGTTACCGCAATAGATTCCCGGAATTAGATGAAAACGATTCCGGGAATATTTTTGCCAATTCCCGGAATGCTTTCCCGGAATAGTTTTCATCTATTCCGGGAATCTCAGCACATTCCCGGAATTCAAACACTTGAAAATTCCTCGAATTAAAAAATGTAGTTGGTAAAAGCGAAAAATTCCAGTATTTGTATGAAGAGGTAGCCAAAAGCATTCCTGCCGGTAAAAAAAGGTTTCAATTTTTTAACTTCGAAAATTCTCCGTAACTTCGCTGGGAACTACCCGATTAATTTGAAACTTTGTATATTAGCTAATGAAGCCCCTTTTAAGCTACTGTGAAAATTTCAGGAATTTTGGTGGTGTTTCACCTAGATTCCCGGAATGGTTACCCGACCTTTTGGTCGGGTAGGCCCCGCCTTAACAAAATTATTCCCGGAATTACATTCCGGGAATTTACCTAAAATTCCCGGAATAGATGAAAATCATTCCGGGAATTGATTCCCGGAATGGGTTACCGGAATAGCATTCCGGGAATCTATTCCGGGATTCCCGGAATAGATGAAAACGCATTCCGGGAATCGATTCCCGGAATCATTCCCGGAATTAATTCCGGGAGATTCAGGGAGATTCCGGGAATGGTAAGAGGCGTTCCCGGAATATTCCCGGAATAGATAAGGCCGGGCTCAGAACCTACCGTCTCTGCACCTCGGCCAGCGATAGCACCTCCTTCACATGGTCGGCCTTCAGCTTGGGTAGCGTCTCGAGAGCCGTCATCGTCTTCTGCAGCTGCAACTCGAACGCCTTGATCGCGTCGTCGGCCACCTTGCTCTTTAGCTGCACGAACGCCGGGTCGTCGGTAGCCTGGAAGTCGAAGCATATGGTAGGGGAGAAAGGCAGGAAAAGAGAAAGAGGTAAAAACAAGAATACCTTCAAGTCCTGCTTCGCAAAGTCCATCTCATAGCGGCAGCGCTCCAGATCTTTTGCGCTCCTGCGCGATCACCCAGTAGTCGTAGTTGATGAAGGTCCTAGAAAAAGTTATGACTTCTACAATTCTAAAAACCTACCGGATGCTGTGAATCGATTTGCGGACGCGGCCCAGATACTCGCGATGGATGCTGCCGAGTTTGCGGAAGATGGCGACGGACATCTCGCGGCACTAAGAAAGGAAAAGCCGTTTGGTAACAGATACAAATACTCACCGCATACTCGCCGAAGGCCACCTCGTTCTTCATCGACTCCTGGACGAGCTCGTGCGGGTCACAGTTGGTCGGCGGCATGATGGGCATCTGGGGGTCATCCTGGAAGAAAAATTGATTTTCGTTCGAAGATTCTATGCACCTCATTCCTGAAGTAGGGGTTCTGCTGCGCAGCAGCGATAATCGCATCAGCCAGGTCATCGACGCACAACTAAGAAGAGGGTGGAAAAACATTCAATGTCAAACCGAACCTTGTAGGCGTCCAGCTCGTCGACGTGTGCCTTGAACGCCTTCGGGTACTCGGTCACCTCGCTGACGCCCACCTTACCCTTCACTTGCGCGAACAATTTTTTGAACTAAAACAGGAAAGATAGGCCAGCTATGGAGAAGATGATACCTTGTTGGGCTGTCCGCGAACCGTCTCCTTGAGGACGCCGCGCACCATGGCTTCCGGGGCCTGATCACGTGAGCCTCCCGACACCCCAGACACCCTAAATGGCAGGCCTTACTCGACTTCAGCTAAATGTTACATAGACGCGCCCATCTTCTCCTGGCTGATGTTTCGGTCCGGTGAAGACTCCTAAAAAAGTTGCGGTAAGGATACGGCTGAATATTTACCCCTTTTGAAGGAGGCTGCTTCCCTTTTGGCGTCTCAGGCATCCGGACGGGTTGGGCGAGTGGGGTGGAATGATATTCCAAACACCCCAACTCCCTTCCCTTCATAGTTATGTATATTTTTATATGCAAATTTTTACATCTTCTCATCAAAACCCACTCCCAGTTGCTGCAGTGCCCCCTCATAGACCATCAACTCATTCAGCAGGTGATACTTGCGCACATTCCCTTCCAATTCCAAAAAAATCATTTTATTAAAGCACAGGACACTCATCGATATTCACAAAGGCACATGTGCCGAGGGCATCACAAATAGTAGTAGCACAGCTAGAAATTATTGCCATTTTGGAAGAGAAAAGTGACATGTTTGAGCCATTGAATATCCGATACATTATTAGATTTACAGTTACAGCCACTAGATTAATGGGGGAAAATATTATTAGGTGGAATCAGCGAGGGCACAGGTAATAGACGAGCCCCGAGATGGGCTATTGCTCGCGGACGCCGGCGTAGTAGGTGGGATGAGCCTGGCGGTCGTTGATCGTCGGCCTGTTGAAGGCGTTGCCACTCGGGGTGTTGTTGTTTGTAGGCGGCTACAACAAACAATTGCAAGAAACATTAATGAAATTTACCTGGCTGCGCGATGGCAGAAGCGGCTTGCCGTAACCCTTCCCCGCATTGATCCACGGCATCATGATGGCTTCGAAGCTCGTGTAGCTAAAAAAAAGAACAGAATAACCACAATCAAGCGTGCATACCGATTGAGCGGGTCGAATGTCATCAGCGTGTTGATGGTGTCCTTGCACTCTTCCGACAACGGCAGGCTGGTCGGGAAGCGGTACCGGCGCTCTCTGAAAACCAAGAACATAAGAACAGAAAGATCCTACTTACTTTTGGTTTTTGACGATCTTCTGGTTGTCGAGGTCCTCGCGGAACGGCATCGTGTCGGTCGTCATCACAAAGCCCACGACACCAATCGACCTAAAACAAAGAAGTAATTAAAATAAGGCGAATCTGGATTACCAAACATCAGCCTTGAATGGGTTGTAGGGGTTGCCGAGCAGGATCTCCGGCGCCGAGTAGGCCTTCGAACCGCAGAACGTCTCCGAAAATTCGCCCTCGACCTAATAGAGGTCAAAGTGCGCAAATGTAAGGTATACCTTGCGTGAGAAACCCAAATCGGCGACCTTCACATCTTGCCCAAAGATGACAATGTTCTCGAGCTTCAAGTCACGATGGGCCACGTCGACGCTGTGCATGTAGACGATGGCGGAGCAAACCTGAAGAAACTTTGTGGAAATTGAAACGAAAATTACCTGGTAAAGCCAGAAAGCGGCCTGGGGCTCGGGCACAGCCCCGTTCTTCTGCACATGGCTCAGCTAAAACACAATGCAATCAAATAAAGCCAAAAAGGCTTTACCATGTCTCCTCCGCTGCCAAACTCCATGACGAGGAACACGTGGTCGAGGGCCTCGTAGTGGCGGAACAGGCGAATGATGTTCGGATGGACGAGCATCTTCCAATTGGCCAGCTCTCGGGGCAGGAAGCGCTTCAGGAAGTCCTTGGTCACCTTCAGCTTGTTGATCATCTTGATGGCCAGCTAAAGAAAGACCGAGTAAGCGCAAAAGCATGATCTGATACCTCGAATCCGTTGAACGCCTGGGCGGTGATGACTTTGCTGTAGCGGCCGCTGCCGAGCTTGCGCGAGTGGTCCAGCGAGATGCCCTTGGCGGCGAAGAGTGTCTTGATCACGGCATTCGGGTCAATCTAAATTGTAAAAAGTAAAGCACACAGAAGGAAAGTACCGGCGGGCGCGGGGCCCCAGGGGCGGCATCTGCGGGACCTGCCGCTCGCCATCAATCGATCGGTTCTGCAACATCGGGCCGCGAACGGGCGTCTGGCCGGATGAAGAGAAGACGCGCTGGTCCCGTGTGCTGTAGTAGACGTTCTGAGCGGTCATCGGCTGCCGAACAGGAGTTGATTGGTCTAAAAGTAAAAATGTAGAATAGTAGGAGAGAAGTAAGGATATCCGAAAAACTCACTAGAGCGTGACGGGTAGTTAGTGTGGTTGACGTGGCGCGGCTGCAACCCCTGGCCGGTCTGCGTGGGCGGCTGCGGGATGCCGTACGGGTTGTTCTTGAAGGCGCCCTGCTGCATGTAGTTCGACGGCTGCGGCGTGGTCTCGTTGTTGTTCTCATCGGCCGGGGTTGGGTAGGAGAAGCCTGAAAAAGAAACGTTAGATGGAAATGGAAGAAATATAGGACAAGCGAGATGATAAAAGCTCACCGGGAGGGCGCGGTACTTGCATTTGTGGTTGACGATAGTTGCCCTCGGCCTGGTGCATCTCCGGAGGCCACTGAAACGAGCGGATAGAAGTTAAGATAAAAACCAGAAAAGTAAAAAGAAAGCAATGGCTGGGTAAAGAAATGATGTGAGGAAAAAGTCAGAATTTCGGTTGGGGAAGTAAAGTTTAGCCAAGAAAACTGATAAAAAAGGAAAAAGAGAACAGACCATGCCAGAAGACAGTGAGAGAGACGAAATGACTGAAAGTTTCGAGAGCTGCCACGGAAAAGTAAATTAGCAAATCAACATTCAAAGCTACATCCGGAAACCCGTTCTTCGAGAAAATGAAAATTGAGCGGCGCAAAATCTTTACCCTTCAGTGCCCACGGCGCGTAGGCGTCTATTGGAAACTCTCGTAGGCCCCCAAACGTCATTAGGTGTGCAACGTTTCTTCCAAGAATACAAAAAAGGCAATTGAAGACCGCAGTAGAAAAGCTTATGTCAAAAGCTTGCGCTTCAGCTGAACCTTCATCAGCAGAATTTGAGTCGCGAGCGGCGGCTCAACGCACTCTGTCAATTCAGCGCACCCAATTTTCAATCGAATTCAGCAAGTCCCGAAATGGCAATTTTTCTCATGGTGATCAAAACATTTATTCAACACATCAACTACACGTAAAATCTAGGAATGCTTAGGTTCGCTTCGGGATCTTCGCCAAAAACTCCTCGTCCTTCAGTTCATCTCGCAAAATGTCGAGCCCGCCAATTAGTTCGCCGTCCAAGTAGATTTGAGGGAACGTCGGCCAATCGCTGTACTCCTTGAGGCCCTAGAACAAAAAGAATTACAACTTTTAACGAGACGTTACCTGTCGCACGGTTTCGTCGCTCAGGATGTCAAACGTCTTGTAGTCGGCGCTGATTCCGTTTAGCATCTCGACGGTCTGACGGCTGAATCCTGAAAAACAAAAGTTGATACGAAATTTGCGCAGAAAGCCTACCACACTTTGGCTGCTGTGGATTTCCCTTCATGAATAGCATTAGCCGGCTGGTCGTAATTAGGCGCTTCAGGCGATCGTTCAGCAACTAAACAAGAAATGTATTAGGAAAGACTAACAAAATAATTACCTCTTTTCGCGGCAATGATTTTACGAATTCTTCGTCTTTCAGTTCCTCGGCAAACACATCGAGCCCGCCGAGTAATTCGCCATTGAGGTAGATTTGCGGGTAAGTCGGCCAGTTGCTGAACGTCTTCAGGCCCTAAAAAAGAGAAGTATATATCGAAAAATAGAGAATTCAACCTCGCGCACGCTGTTGTCTTGCAGAATATCGAAGGTGCCAAAGTCGGCGTTGACATTGTTCAGCAACTCGATAGTGCGGCGGCTGAATCCTGAAAATTCTCCGATTATTGATTCAAGCAAAAAGATACCGCATTGTGGCTTCTCGGCATTCCCTTTCATGAAGAGCATCAATTTGTGCGAATTGATGAGACGCTTCAGCCGATCGTCAAGGTTCTAAATTAAAAGATCAACTGAAAGCGGAAACAATTTAAATACCTCTTGTTGCGCGGGGGCAGCTGTTGCAGGTGCGCCGGTTCCTTGCTCAACGATAGCCTCGCGAATCTGTCGCACTTGGTAGCCGTTCACCCGTGAGACTTCTTTTCCTGCCTAAACGAGAAATCCATAAAAACTAAAAATTTTACCTTGTAAAATATCACCGTCGGCGCTGCGGTCACTTTGTAGGCCAGTGAAATCTGCGGCAGCCCTTCGGCATCTACATAGGCGGCCTCGAACGGGGCTTTCAGCTCGGCCTGAAACAACTACAATACAAAATCCACACGAATTTACCTTTAGATCATCCAACGCTGTATTCAGCTCCTGGCATTGTGGGGCCCAAGACGCGTAGAAGTGGACGAGTCGCAAGCTAGATTTAATTAGAGCGCAATAAAACAAAGCAACCTGTCGGGTTTGATGAAATTCTTGAACGCAGATTCTTCTAGGAGTTGCTGCGGCATTTTCCTGAAACACTTCGTGTATTTGGATTCAAATCGTTTCAAAAGAAGAGAGGAGGGGGAGAGGAAAACGGCAACTGGTAAAGTGCGAGCATTCGAGCGCTTTGTAAGGTTCGAGCGTTTTTGACAAATGTCTGAATACTTGCAAGAGCGCAAAAGTATGTAATTTTGCAACCAGGTTTGCAGCGCAGTCAACGATGACATGAGTTCCACATTCGAGTAACGTGTCTATTTTATTTTTCTTAGTTAACTGAACTAAATTCATAAATTGCCTGTAATATCAGAGCCTCTTATCTAAGCGTTTGGCCTCTTACAGTTATTTATTATGGAATCCGTCAAAAAGCTCGAGTTTTACAAAACGCCCGAGATTTAGAAAGCGCTCTAACGCTCTAAACGCTCGAGTTCTACAAAACTCTCGAAAACTTAAAATTTACAAGGCGCCAGAATGCGAGAGAAAAGAGCGAAAAAGTGAATAAAAACGATCCCGGAAAGTCGGATCGCATGGGATGATGCAAGGTATTTCTCGTCCAGGGGAGCGCGCTGTCGTCTTTGATCAAGATTTCCTTTTGTAAAATTGTAAATCGCAAAACTTTGGAAAATTAACAAAAAAATGGTCAGGGCAAACTGGCGATCGGGTCCACACGAAAAGCCGCAACATCGAACGTCGTTCCGCGCAATTCCAAATGACGCCTTATCCACTGGATAGCATGGATAATCGCGGACGGGCGCGCTCCATTTCAAAACTGAGCGCTTTTACTCCTCTAAAGGGACCAGGAAACGAAATTGAACTTGAACCTGAACTCCTAGCAACGGCGAATATCATAACAACTTCGTGTGATTTTTCTGACAGTTCTGAAACTTCAAATTGGTCGCGTAGCAACGAAATTCTGGCGGGTTTTGAGGTTTGATCAGTAAACCGGTCCGTTTGCTATAGCTTTCATACTGCCGGAAGAGGCCCAGACTAAATATGATATTATTTTCCGTACTGCTGCTGATTATAAAAGCGGAAGACCTTCCAACCTTTGTCGGATCGGCTTTGCTAGATCAAGGTTGCTATCAGGCCTGTCAAAACCTGGAAGCTCGCTTCGTGGCTTACTATTCCAACGACACTTGTCAATGTATTACCGTCTACGCTGGAAATGCCGGCAACGGTCTCACCTTGGATAACGTCGAATCGATAGGGGCTGTTTTGGAGACGGATAGTCAGACGAATTACTACAAGGATCAGCTCGTGTATGGGGTAAAGTTATGACATTACTGGAAAGGAATTTGATAAGCCGAAAAACGTTTCGATCGCCAGTAAATGCCAAAGTGTAAAGACTTTTTAGCTCCTAAAAATGTCGACAATGCAATCGCTGCTTATGGCGCCGTTTGTGGTTAGCAGCACTTCGGAAACGGCCATTTCTAGTGTGGTTATGAGCACCGTACCAACCGGAAGCGTAAGTCTCAGTCCCTGATCGCTATTGGAAGTGTAGCGAAAAAAACTACTTGTGATGTTGTAAATTCTAGGCAGGAAAAACACAAACAACAACCACCACAACAACTACGAAAAGCACAACGAAAGCTACAACAAAAACCACGACCAAGCCAACAACGAAAAAGACCACAAAAGCAACAACCAAGAAGACGACGACAAAAAAGGCGACAACTACGGTTTCTTGGTAGTACGACAATTAAAAGAACTCTAGAAAAAGTGCACTACTTACTGGGGCGAGTGGGGAGCGTGGAGCGCGTGCACTGGTAGTTGTGGAAACTGTGGGCAGACAACGCGGAAGAAACCATGCGTCTCCACCGGACCCGCTTGCAAATGGTTGGTGGTTGGGAACGTATCGACTAAACCCATTCCAGGAACTTTCAAAAAGAATCCGTTAGCAGCTTACATTTTTAGTGGAGCACCGCAGACACAGATCAAGGCATGCCCATCCGCGCTGTGTCCTGGCCTGTGGGGCAGCAGACCGGGTTGCGATTGCGGCGGTGCCAACGTGGCCTACCAATGCAGCGAGATATGGATCAAGCAGTAATTAATATACATTAATATTGAAATAAATTTGTCACCATTCTGTAGTTCGTCAGAGGTAGTAAAGCTGAAGAGAGAGAGAGAGAGAGAGAGAGAGAGAGAGAGAGAGAGAGAGAGAAGGCACAAGCGCGAGCGGGATAGAGAAACATTCTAAGTGGAACCTGAAGGGGAAGTAAAAGTATAAAAAATAATATAAGTAGAAAAGCAGAATACGATATCCACCTATGCGGGCTCCCCAAATAAGGTAGGCGACGGAGGGAGATTCGGAAACTTAAACGGAATCCAAGGTTTGCATCTTGGGCTTGGGCCGAATTCGGGGGCATTCGGCGAAATAAGGCTGCTCAAGTCGGCCGACTTTCTCCGAGATCTTCCCTCGGCTTCAGCCTTGTCACTTGGTGCAAGACGTTGCTTGGTATTTCTTTTTCTTTGAGTACGGTCTTTTTGGCCACGAACGTAGTCGGAAACCTTTGCCCCTTTTTACTTTTTCAAAAATTAAAAATATTCCTGTCTTCTGGCCTCGAGAATTAAATGTGGTAAAAGTCCACAGGATCGAAATTCTATGTCGAAACTTGCA